CCATGCAGGAAGTGTCGATATTTCCTAGGCTCCTTGTGATTTCATTGGTGTTAATTGGCGGATTGTCCAATGCATCAAAGGAGTTGCTTATGTCAACTGTATTTTCATTTTGATTAGTATTATTAGCATGTAAAAAAAGAGTAACAATATTCCCATTAAGATTAATATTTCGAGATGGGAGGGGGGAGACTTACCTGGGATGGGAAGTAAATGAACCATTGCCTTACCAGTTGGTTTGTTGTGGTTTTGGCTTGTGCACAGACTTTTTCTTCTTGGGGAAAGTAATAGTGTGCCAGGCATCCTCTTTGGGCAGTGAAGATCCCTTTTGCATGCCATGACTTGAAGTGTCTAATGCCTTGGATTGGCTAGTGGCACTGTCCCCTTTTGAAATGGAAGGTTTGCTTCTTTGCTTCGTGTAGATGCATGAGGCCGTTACCCTAATCTACCACAATTCTTGCATAGGAAATTGACTCTTTCATAGTGGATTTCTTGTTTGTATTGTCCAATGTAAATGAATGGTGTAACCGGAATCTCCAATGAAATTTAAATGCATAGTCTAGCATAACGACCCCCTAGGGTAGAAGAGGTGCATGCATCAATTTTTAATAGTTTACCTATCTTGTTACCAACTTTGTGAGTAGTTGGCCGTCGTAAAATTCTGTTGGCAATTGTGGTAAACGTATCCAAATAGCAGCCAGTGAAATCTTAGCTTTTGAGGCAATAAAATTTGGTACCCATTTTTGGACAGATAGGAAATGGCCAAAGATGAACCAAGGACCCTGATGAAGGACTTTGAGCATGCTATCTTCATTGCTAAACTTTGTAATATAATAATCGGATCCTAGGTCAATAAGTGAAAAAATTTCTTTTAGTTTCCACATGTCCTGAATTTTCTTTTTGAGTAATTGATGTTGGATTCTCATTCCTTGTAGCTTTATAATCGTTGAGTATTTCCATGGAGAGTAAATGCGGTGTAGGTCTTCCGGAGATAGATGAATTAGGTGATCATCATTTGAGTAAGGGATTGTATTTTCAAGGCCATTGGAAGGAGATGGATGAGATTGGTTATATGAATCAATGATCATGTGGATCTCCCCATCTTGAATTCCATCGATTAATTTGTCCTTGAAACTTGAGTTTGAAGGCGTAGGAGTTATTGAGCATTGCATTTGATCAATGTAGGAGGCTTAGGAGAAATTAAAGTAGAGATTTTTGAATTGTTCATGGTTTGGGATTGTAGTGAGAAGGAGGAGGTTCTCTCTCCAAATAGCAGCCAGTCTTTTTCCGTTAGTACTAACACATCGTACTATCTTATGTTGTATACAGTATGTAATTAGAAATTTAGAATAGATGAACAATTAAGAAATGTCATTGTATGCTCTTTTTAAGCTACTATTTATATATTTTTTTCGTTTTAAAAGATTTACAAATATAGATTTAACGGCCGACTACTATTCTATGCTCGTTTTCTCCTTCTTCCTCCTTTCAGTATCTAAATCCAAAGAGCTTTCACAAAAAATACCATGAAAATTACTATAAAAATAATGAGATTGAGAATACTAATTGCAAGAAGTATTGTTGGGTCTGAGATTCTTTACGTTAATTAATCTCTCTTTTGTTAATTAGTTTATTATTTATTATTTATCACCCATTTCGAGTTTAAGAAAAAATTAAAAATATTTAAAATATGACAAATATTTTAATGACTATATAAACATGCTATCAAGTATTAAATATGAAGTTAAATTTAATTTTTTTAAAATATAATAAATTTGTATCCTTTTTTAATATATTTAAAAAAAGTATTACATGTTTGGAAAACTGAAAGGGGGTGTGTGGTTTGAATACGGCTTATGCTGTGATAAGTTATGCTAGGGTTAGTTATACTGGGATTAGTTATAGATATTATTTTTTATTCATTGTTTGGTATATTGTATTAAAAATGACAATTGCATAATTTTAAAAAGAAGGTATAAGTTATCCCGACACTAATTACCTCACCCCCTATAAGGTATAAGTTATCCCGACACTAATTTTAATTCCGGGATAATTTATACCAAATTTGCTAACCAAACAAAGTATTAAGGTGGTATTAAAATTGTATACCAGCACTATATCTACTTACCAAACAAGACTCGAAGAGTTTTTTCGTCTTATATCCAAACTTCCAAAGTATTATTATTAATTCATTTAAAACTATTATACAGTGAAAATATAATCAACAATAATATTTACCCAAAAGTTAAAGCAATTATAGAAATCAGAAAAATATATTGTAAATACTTGATAATTCCATCATGTCTAGATTCATCTCAAACCAAATTATGAAAAATTTCTTTATACACCACATTTCTAGCTTCATTCGTTATTTGGCCATCATCATCATAAACTAAAATCTTCAACCCTTTTCTACTTGTCACGCGTGAAAGAGCAACATACACTTTTCCATGAATAAATATTGGCTTCTTCAAAAATAATCCCACATGAGACAATGACTGACCTTGATTTTATTAATTGTCATGCCAAAAGATACAACAATTAAAAATTGTCTTCGCTGGAACTTAAAAGGTATTCTTGCATCTGATGGCGTCAACGTCATTCTCGGGATAAACACTTTTTGTCCAGCCATATTACCCGATAAAACCTTGGCTTCAATAACTCGATTTCCAAGTCTTGTGATGATCAACCTCGTGCCAATACACAATCATGATGATTGGTCAATATTTCTTAGCAACATCATAGGAACACCAACCTTCAAAGTAATAGAGTGATTTGGAATTCCAGAACATTTAATACTGTTCAGGAATTCGGGTATATGCATGTGCTCCAAAGCTGAAAAAGAATTATCAGACATATAAACTGTATCAGAACTCAAATATGTCTTCTTAGGACTATGATTGAGTGAAACCATATATTCATTGATCGACTCCACCGTATCAAGATTCGGAGCAAGAATTGCTCTTCGCTGGAGGTAATCAATGTCACTGGAATGGTTAAAGAAATCTGGATATGTGATTTCAACAATTGCCGATATTGGATCATCACAATTATTGATGAGAAGATCATCCGGGATTTGGACTTTCTCAATGCCATCAATGCTTCTGTAACCCACATCTTATGAAATATTTATATAATATCCGGTCATATTGATTGTTTATTTTTTATAGCTAATATAAATATATGATATACCGACAACACACGATTATACACATATTATATATGGATTATATCTAAATTACACATCATTCAATTTTTTAATTTAAGTGGTCGGGTGAGCACCTATTTAGGCTGATTAGATAAAGCCAAAAGAAAAATATGAAATAATTTCAACCAAAGACTAAAAATATAATTAAAGTTCATATGTAGACAATTTTTATTAAAACTCATCCTTTTATAGTGAAATAAATTATTTTTTTGTAACAAAAGAAATAATGACATAAAAAATAAGATAAAAGAAAATATATATTGAAAAAAATGTTAGAAAATCTAAAAACGAGAAAAGATGACAACAAATTTCTTCTTATGTTTCATCTTTATTGAGTATAAAAATTTTGAAAGTTAATCTCATCGATTTCAAATATTTCTTTTCAACTCAAATACATAGATTATAAGATAAAGATATCTTAGAATATTTTTTTTAATTTACATTATGTGTCATTTTAAAAAAAATCACTATTACTAACAAATTAATATAATATTCGAATTTGAATTGGAATGCAATTTGAGTAGTTTGCATTGAGGTTAAGCCAAGTATGGTGTCGAAAAATAAACTATTTGATAGTTTTAAGATAATATATGCAATATTTTATAATAATAATAATAATAATCGACTAATTTAACATTTAGTGATTCAAAGAACAAATTTTTTGTATATATAGGATATTAAAAATTCAAATTTTGGGGCTATAGATATCGATAAACTTAAAGTGGAGTCATACTGAAATAAATTCGATCAAATAATCATTTAAACTTTCCGATAGCTGATTAAAGTGAATTTTAAATTAAAGATAATATCTTCACTTGCATCATTAAAAAGATAATTCATTATTATAATATATATAAAGTTTTAGAAATTGAAATTTTAAAATAGAAATATTTTTTGAAAGATAAAATCATACCAAATAAGAGTTCAAGTCGTAGTATAAGAGTTACGTCGTAAACAAAGAATCATTTATATCGTGTCAACTTTTGTGCTTTGCCATAAATATGAGTTATTATTTCACTTTGTGGCTATTTTTAGGTTTCAATGACACCTATGAGAATAGTGCAAAAATAAAATTATTACTATGAGAATTGAGAAAATGTTAGTCTTTTTTCATGTAGTGCTTCTTAATTAATATCTGATGATTATCTATAATTATTTAGAAGGTTTAAATGTTAAGGTTATTTACATATAATTCAAATAACTCAGATATTTAATATGGTTAATATCAAATATCAAAATGGCGTAAAAAAAATCACTAGCTAAAGAATTTTTTATATTTTTAGATAGCCAACTAAAATAATTTTTGAATTAAGAATAATATTTTCAATTACATTATTATAAAAATAATTATTGTTGAAAAATAATATTTTAGAAACTGAAATTTTAAGAAAGAAATATTTTTTAAGAGATATCAACACGCCAAATAAGAGTTCAAGTAGTAGTAAAAGAGTTAAGTCTTATCTAAAGAGTCATTTATTGTCTCAACATTTAATTGTTTTGCCATAAATATGAATTATTATTTTGTTTCCTGACTATTTTTATGATCCAATGACACTAACAAGAATGATATCAAAAAAAAAATAGAAGAAATAATTATTTTTTTCATGTAATTAATATCCAATAATTATCTATATTTAATAAAAAAGTATAAATTTTAATATTATTTACCTATAATCCAAATAACATACGTGTAATCCAATCCAAATAACTAGTAGAGTTATAAAAGAAAGAAGTCTAATAACGAATTAGGAGCATTCTAGAATGTTCTAACTCCTAACGAATCAAGTCCGTCAATTCCCTAGCTCCAATAAAACCACAGATCCCACACACGAAGCTACTCCTCTTACTCTTTTTCTCCATTCCCCTGACTCACCTGAAAGTCAAGACGTCCCCTCCTTCCTCTTCTCGCCGCTACTTTCCATCGGTACGTACTCATCGATCGATGATTATAACATTAATCGTTTATTCGATTTTACAGCTTGATGTTATTTCGTAATTTGTAGTGAATTTTGATGTTAATTTTGTAGATCTATTCGTGTTTTTGTTTTTTGTAGATCAAATTTTGACTTAGTAAAAGCGATCGAAGAAGAAGATGTTTGGAAGGACACCGAAGAAGAGCGATAACACAAAGTATTATGAAATCTTAGGAGTTCCGAAGAGTGCTTCTCAGGATGATCTCAAAAAGGCTTATCGTAAAGCCGCTATTAAAAACCATCCCGATAAGGGAGGCGATCCTGAAAAGGTAATTTTACTGTTTCTGTTCTAGGGTTTCTATTTATTGATTACCTATTTTAGCAATTGCTTCTACCTATGTGTACAGATTGGTGTATGAATTGATTTAGATCTGTAATCTGTTAATTGTTATTCGTTATATTGTTTCTACTTAGTTGACGTAGATCAACTTGATAATGTTTAGTGGTTGTGTAATTATACCCTCAGATTTATCTGAACTATAATAGACGTATAGCGCTTAATATGACATACTTTTTTTGGTTTAATAGTTTGTGATTAATTGCCGTGTCTGAGGGTGTGATCTAGTGGTCAATGAGGTGGGATGGAAAACATGAGGTTTGAGGTTTCAATCCCAACGGTAGGCAAAAATATTTGGTGGTTTCTTCCCATCTCTCGAAGCCTTAGTGGACAGATTTACCTTTACCTGTGCTGGTTGAAGGCAAAAAGTACCCCTGGAAATTAGTCTTGGTTGGCTCAAGCTGGCACGGACACTACGATTATTAAAAAAATAATTTGTGATTAATTGGGCTGCATGCCTTTTAAATTAGCCACAATGTGTGCCTTTTGTTACATTGTCAACTGCAATTACTGTTGTGTTTTGACTATATTTTGTATGTAGCCGAGAGATATCTTGATGAATCAGTTTTGTCCTTTGGTTCTTTTAGTTTAAGGAGCTTGCCTGAGCTTATTAGGTTCTTATTGTTAGTTGATGCATTATTTGGGTTCTTTGATTCTTTCAGTTTAAAGAGCTTGCCCAAGCTTATGAGGTTTTAAGTGACCCGGAGAAGCGTGAGATATATGATCAGTATGGTGAGGACGCTCTCAAGGAAGGAATGGGTGGTGGAGGTGGTGGACACGACCCATTTGACATATTCCAATCATTCTTTGGTGGTGGAAGCCCCTTTGGTGGTATGTTAAGCACATGTTGAAGTTGAATTTACTTTTTTTGTTTTCACGTTTGTGCAATTAGTTTATCTTAAATTTTTCTGATGTTCAGGTGGTGGAAGCAGCAGAGGTAGAAGACAAAGAAAAGGAGAGGATGTTGTCCACCCTCTCAAGGTTTCGTTGGAGGATGTTTACAATGGGACATCAAAGAAGCTTTCACTATCTCGCAATGTGTTGTGCACAAAGTGCAAGGGGTGAGTGTATAGCTTGATTAGTTATGTTTCAACTTCATTTTTCATTTATTTATGGAGTCATTGTAGTGTGTGTCAGGGGTGAGTATTTTTCACTATGTCTTGCATTCATGATGGTGCTATATTGTCATTTCCAGTAAAGGGTCTAAGTCAGGTGTTTCAATGAAGTGTTCTGGCTGTCAAGGGTCTGGGATGAAAGTTTCTATTAGACAGCTTGGTCCATCTATGATCCAGCAGATGCAGCACCCTTGCAATGAGTGTAAGGGTACTGGTGAGACAATTAATGACAAAGATAGGTGCCCACAGTGTAAGGGAGAGAAGGTTGTGCAGGAGAAGAAGGTGTTGGAAGTTCACGTGGAGAAAGGTATGCAGAATGGGCAGAAGATAACATTCCCAGGCGAGGCAGACGAAGCAGTAAGATATGCAGTCACATTTTTGAAATAATTTGCTTATAATAACTGAATCTTGACATGATTTCCTTGATTTGTGCTTTTGCAGCCGGAAACTATTACTGGGGACATAGTTTTTATCTTGCAACAGAAGGAACATCCTAAGTTCAAGCGAAAGGGAGATGATCTTTTTGTTGAGCACACGTTGACCTTGACTGAGGCCCTATGTGGTTTCCAGTTCATCTTGACTCACCTAGACAACAGACAGCTGCTGATCAAGTCCCAGCCTGGCGAAGTTGTCAAGCCTGGTAGGCCCGATAGCCCCTAATGACTGTCAAAGAATCATGTGTAATGCACTTGGAGTCTCCCATAATAGGCTGCTTCATCAGTTTATCCCCTGGCCAGTGCCAATCTTTTAGCATTACCCCTCAAATATTTACTGAGGGTGATAATGGCAAATATAAGAACCTTTTCTTCTCAGGTTCTTATGCAACTATTTAGATTCATGGAGTCATGTGTATTTAAGCCTCTCTCTCATTCTCTGCACATGTGTGCATGTGTGTGTTTATGCTCTGTCTGTCTCCTGCCCTTGGCTAAATTTGGTTGTGGTTCACTTTTTGATTTCTGATGGATAGGCTGTGGTTCTGAAAATATCTTGTGGATACTGACTGATCACAATTTTTGTTGGTTCTGCAGACCAGTTTAAGGCTATCAATGATGAAGGAATGCCAATGTACCAAAGGCCTTTTATGAGAGGGAAACTGTACATTCATTTCACTGTTGATTTCCCCGAGTCATTAACCCCAGAGCAGTGCAAGAACCTTGAAGCGGTGCTGCCGCCAAAACCCAAAATGGAAGTGTCTGAAATGGAATTGGATGAATGTGAGGAGACTACTTTGCATGATGTGAACATCGAGGAGGAGATGCGAAGGAAGCAGCAAGCAGCCCAAGAGGCATATGACGAAGATGATGATATGCCTGGTGGTGCACAGAGAGTCCAATGTGCACAACAGTAATTTGGTAATTGGTAGTGTTCTGTATGCTTCAAGAAATTAACAGGGCCTACTCTCCCCTGGTAAAGACCTTTGTCAGAATATTGCTATCCATGGTAGGACGTAGATTACTAGTAAAGGATTTGGGAAATTTTATTATGCAAACTGACACTATAAGCAGAATTTTACTGCTTGACAATTGCAAGTGTGCTTACATGTTTTCGCAATTTGTTGGTTATTTTATTCAATTGAAAACCTAGCATCTTACTTCTATCCTTTATAATTTCAAGTCGAATTTGAAAATGAACGTGTGCCTGCCTGACGAAACAACTTGTGAAAGTCTTGTACTTGTAATATCTTACTTGTGAATTGGCATGGCTGGCTGCACCCAAGGGGTCGTTATACTAGAAAAGTGGAGATGGATTTTGACAATAGCTGGATATTGATGACACCGGATTACTAGTTCTCTGGTTCAAAGGTACAAACAAAAGTACAAAGTGCTCCAGAGTATAGCACAAAATGAGCAAATTATAAACATATGTAACTGGTAAGATTAAAACCATAAAAAGTTAACCTATACGGGCAAAGGGATTCCATCAACTTGAGCAATCGTTATGATAAACGCTTGTAATCCTATAAATATTTTTTTTTTAACTATAATGATTTAAATGCTCTTAAAGCTATTTACAGGCAAATATAAAGATAAAAGTATCTCTACAAGGAGAAGGATCAATGAGATAAGGCCGAATGACAAAAATGAAACGAAGAAAGAGTTCCAGATATTTTGATTGTCATAAAACGCGTATATAAGTCAAAAAATACCTATAATAACCTGACAACTTATAGAGCATGTTTGGATTGGTGTATTTTAAGTGCTTTTAAGCCAAAATAACTTTTTAAGTTATTTTGTAGTGNAAAAAAAAGCCAAAAGCTAAAATTTCTAACTTATTGTTTATGCTTAAAAGCCACTTGAAATAACTCCATCCAAACGGGCTCATAAGCTTGTCAAAACGTCCTTTTATGTAGACGAACTTAAGCCTAAGCTATTGAAATAAGACGACTTTCTTGTATTGGGAAAAATTTAAATGTAAAGGTGACGTGTCGAGATACGTAGACTGGTCAAATGGTCAAAGAATTACAACTAGCCAGGAGGCACAAGTTGCAACAGATACGAGCAAATGGCAGAGGAAGAGGCACAGACAGTTATTCAAATAACTCAGCGCCCGTACCTATCTAAGTCATTTATGTCCGAGAATCAAAAGGAATGAATCTGAGAATAGAAAAGAGTGCAGATACGATATTTAATAGGCATTAAATGTGGAATACGTTAGATAATTTGTATTGAATGTAATGATTATGTAACGTAGCATTCAATGTCTTTAATTACTCATAATAGCCTCATTATGATTTGGGCAAAACATATATCTCCAAGATATCTATAAAAGGGAGATATCTGATCAATTGTAAGGACAAGAAACACTATTAGAATAAACTTTGGTTTACTTGTTTTTCTCTTGATTACTCTCTTGCTACCTAAATTACTTCCTTTTATACATTCTTTTGATTATCAGTAACCCGTGTTCTTCTAAATTCTAGCTTTGACTAAAATTTCATTTTTTGGTTAAACAAATTGGTTCCGTTATCGGGAAACTGATAATCTATTTTCTTTTCACTTAACTTTCCTTGTTGCATCAATTATGTCGAACAACAATGACAACACTCAAGGAAACCAAGAGAACCAACAAAATTAGGGAGATCCACAAAATATTAACACTCAAGTTCCTACTCCACGAGACTCTCCACGGCAATCTCATGAGGGTACTCCTGATGGGTCTCAAATAAACGAGCATGCTCAATTTGAAAATGCTGAAGCTGTTGATGAAGCTTTGAAGAAATTAATTGTTGCTCAGGTCAACAAAGCTATTGAGGCACTTGTTAACCAGTTACCTGTTGCAACACCCATACCTATTCCAAATAATAACACTTTGGAAAACCCTCGTTCCGGGCTTGTTAACTCAGGCAGCGGTGGAACTCCAAGTGAATCACAGGAGAGAGAACCAGGTAATGTAATTAATTCTGATTTACAAAATTTAGTACTAACCTTGCAGAAACAGCTCAAGGAGCAAAGTGAGCGCATAGAGCAGATACCCGGGGTGCCGCCCATAATCAAAGGGGTAGATATGGATAGATATTCGCAACAACCCTGGAAGCCAAGTGCTGCTCCACTCCCAATTCCAAAAAGTTCAAAATGCCTGATATTCCAAAATATGATGGAACAACAGACTCACGAGATCACGTGACTGCATTCACAACGGGCGTAAAAGGCAACGATTTGACTAAGCAAGATATTGAATCAGTATTAGTCAAAAAAATTGGTGAAACGCTCACCAAAGGAGCGCTAACATGATGTTCTCTTTTACCTGAAAATTCTATAAATTCTTTTGCTGAGCTTGCAGATTCTTTCATCAAAGCACACTCGGGAGCTCAAAAAGTAGAGAAAAGAATGGAGGATATTTTCAAAATCAAGCAAGGGGACTCAGAGCTGCTTAGAGAATTCGTGGACAGATTTCAACGTGAAAGAATGACATTGCCACATGTACCTGACAACTGGGCAGTTATAGCTTTCACAAGTAATTTGAATGAAAAAAGCTCGGAAGCTACGAGGAGACTCAAGGAAAACCTTCGAGAATTCCCAGCTACAACGTGGAATGATATTTATAACAGGTATAGCACGAAGCTGAGGATTAAGGAAGATAACTGTTCCACGATTTCAAAAAGAAGAAAAGGTAAGTTCGAGACGTGCGGAGACCGAAAAAAGATCCAGTAAAAACAGGTACGAGCCTTACATGGGACCTGTGGGAAAGGACTCATGGTCAAAGCAGGATAATCAAAGGTACGATCACAGATCAAGAAACAGAGAATCAGGTTCTTTATCAAGATTCAGGAACAAGCGAAACAACTATGAGTCACGAGATGATGATAGAAATTTAAAAGCGAGATTCGGTGGTTACAACTTCAATGTCAGCACCTCCGAGCTCGTAGCTGTTTTGAAAAGCATGGGAGATAAGGTTCGATGGCCAAAGGAAATGAGATCGAATCCAAACAGGCGCAACCCTGACCATTGGTGTGAGTTTCATAATGATCACTGACATAAAACAGCAGATTGCAGATTTTTATAAAGTGAAGTTGATCATTTATTAAAACAAGGATATCTTACTGAGTTGTTCAATGAGAAAGGCAAGCAAGCTTACATGAAGAATAAGCAGGAGCCTCCAAAACCACCATCTCCCAAAAGAACTGTCAACGTTATAAGTGGGGGTGAAGACGTCAATGGTATATCATATACTACAGCTAACAAAATTTCCAAAGTAACAATTACCCAAGGGAAACGGGTGCGGCATGTTTTAGAGGAAGACAACATTACATTCAATGACGCAGATGCAGATGGCGTATTAACCCCTCATAACGACGTACTGGTAATATCTTTAATTGTACATGATACTAATGTGAAACGAGTTTTGATTGATCCAGGTAGTTCCGTGAACATTATTTTGCTAAGAGTATTATGTGAGATGCAAGCTGAAGATAAAATGATACCAAAGGAGCATACTCTATCTGGATTTGATAATTCTAGTGTCATCACGAAAGGAGAGGTAACACTCACCAGATTCGCTGAAGGAGTCGTCAAAGATACAAAGTTCCAGGTGGTAGATATGGAGATGGCTTACAACATGATTCTTGGGAGACCATGGATCCACGAAATGGATGTTGTTCCTTCAACCTTGCATCAAGTTATTAAATTTCCATCGCCATGGGGAATCTGTCAAATTTGTGGAGATCAACATACAGCCAGGGCTATCAACTTTGTTGCAGATACAAGCATGAGAAATGAAGGTAAATAACAATCACAGAAGGCAGTTGAGGACACCACAACACAAACCTCAACTGAACAAGGGCAAACAGATGTAGATTCAAGGCCTGATACCATTCAAGAACCAGAAGAAAATGAAAATATCAAAACAACAATAGAGGAATTAGAGCCTGTCGTGTTATTTGCTCAATGGCCTGATAAAAAAGTCTATGTTGGAGCCAATCTTAGCCAAGGTATGAGAGGTTTGTTAATTGAATTTTTGAAAACTAACGTGGACTGCTTTGCTTGGTCCCACTCTGACATGACAGGAATACCACCGGAGGTGATGACTCATAAACTAAATGAAGATCCATCATACCCTCCTGTCAAGCAAAAGAAAAGAAAGCAAGGAACTTTCAAGAATCAGGTGATTCAAGAAGAAGTCCAAAAATTGCTAAAAATTGGTTCCATTCGTGAGGTAAAGTATCCTAACTGGTTAGTTAACACTGTTGTAGTTCCAAAAAAGAACGGTAAGTGGCGAATTTGTGTAGATTACACAGATCTTAATAAAGCCTGCCCTAAAGATTCTTTTCCACTACCACACATAGATCAATTGATTGATGCAACTGCAGGTCACGAACTATTAAGTTTTTAGATGCATATTCAGGTTATAATCGGATTAAAATAGATCCGAGAGATGAAGAAAAAACTTCATTCATAACAGACAAAGGGACTTACTGTTATAAAGTAATGCCCTTTGGTCTATAGAATGCAGGTGCAACGTATCAGAGGTTAGTTACCAAAATGTTTCAAGAGCATTTAGGGAAGACTATGGAGGTATATATAGATGATATTCTTGTTAAAACTCAGTATTCAAAAGATCACATATCACACTTATCTGACACATTTTTTTCAATTTTGTGCAAATTTAATATGAAGTTAAATCTCGAAAAATCTGCATTTGGCATTGCATCAGGTAAGTTTTTGGGTTTTCTTGTTTCTAACCGTGGTATTGAAGTGAATCCTGCACAGATTAAGGCCATTGAAGAAATCCCTGATATACTTTCAAACAAGAAAGAAGTTCAAAGATTAATAGGGAGAATTGCAGCCTTAGGAAGATTCATTTCTAAATCATCAGAGAAGTGTTTTAAATTCTTCTCAGCCCTTAAGAAGCAGGATCATTTTGAATGGAATGAGGAATGTCAACAGGCACTCAGGAATTTGAAAACGTACTTATCAAATCCACCTTTGCTGGCAAAACCAAAGGCTGGGGAAAGACTACTCATTTACCTTGTTGTTTCGGAAGTTGCGGTAAGCGCTGTTTTGGTCCGAGAAGAACAAGGTAAACAATCCCCTATCTATTATGTTAGTAAATCTTTGTTAGATGCGGAGACGCGGTATCCTCAGTTAGAAAAACTTGCAC